ATGGTTCAGCCGTCTAGGTCAATGACGGTTCAAAAACAATGATCGAACCCATGTCCCCTATCCCAAAGCGAACCCTCTTTCTTTGTCTTCTTTGCAATCAAAGCCCTATTGTAAAGCGAACCCCTATCCCCTATCCTAAAGTTTTTACTTCTTTCTTATGCTCGAATCCAATAGCAAGACCATCAAGACAAGGGGCTCAGCGTTGAAGATGTTGACTGCTGCTACAACTCCTAGCAACGACAACGTCTCAAATCCAAGACCTTGACCGTGGAGTGACAACGTCTCAAATCCAAGACCTTGACCGTGGAGTGACAACGTCTCTCTCTCTCTATCTCTTCCTTCTTCCTTTCCATTGTTGAAGACGCCTATCAATTACAAGTTCTGTAGGGTTAAAGCGAGAGGGACCGGGCAACTTTTGGGGGCGGTGTGATTTTGTTGGTGGTTCTCCTTTTTTGGACACAAGTGGCAGAGACTAACACCAACAAGGCTTAGGAAACTCTAGAATAAGAACAAAGGAGCTTCAAACTCGGGTAAAGCATCAAAAACCTAGAAGAACGGAGAAGCTTCAAATTTGATTTGAGGGCAAAATGGACATTTCAACCCTTCCGTCAGGATAGCCTTGATAGCCTTAATCTTCAATGGATAATTTTTTTTTTCTAAAAATTCTGTTTTTTCTAAACATGTTGGAAGTTGGAACCAATCAACATGAAGCCGAGCTCCCAGCGAGGATTGAACTCGCGACCTTTCACTTACGAAGCAAACGCACTGCCACTATGCTATGGAAGCTTGCTGCAATAGATTTAATTGTTAGTTATTCAAATGTGATATCGTAGTAAGTGATGGTTTTGATGAAAATTACTTTTACGAATTACCAATCTAACCTAAATGACGATTTTTTTCTTTAAGATCCCCCAAGTCATTGACAATTACGGCTGAACTTTCATTTACAATGAATAGCAACCTGTACTATCGGATCAATAACAATCATCTCTTGAACTTTTATTTGAAACAATTATTTTTCCTAATTTTTATATTGCAACAATATCTATCAGCCATTAAGTCAAATGACGGAATGCATTAAATCACCAAATTATTTATTTAAAGTTTTCTTTTTTTCTTTTCTTCACCTTTTTCTCTTAAATCTAGTTGACCAAAAATACATCCATTTTCTTCATGTGAAACCAACTAAAATAACAAGAAGAATTTCACTAATATAAAAAAATATATATATTTTTAATTCTTGTTTTATTTCACTGATACGAATGTATCTCTTCATCTTAAAATATAAAAATTATTCACTCATTTCTTCAATAAAATTAAGAAAAACCAAACAAAAAATTTTATTTGAATATTGAATATAGCCAAAAATTTGCAATGATCTATTAGAGCAAATGAGAGGACCTTTGATGACCTTATTATATATCTTTATTGTTATTAGCATCATCAGATTCACTATAGATTGGTCGTAGTCAGAATTTCTTTGACGGGCTGAATGAAAGCCATCTCATGCATGCATGCCTCAGCAATCGAAGTAGCAGTAGCATTTCTTGTTGAACCAGCTACCGTGGCATGCTCCATGCTTGGCATACTCCCAGTCCTTGCATTGCTTGTCACAGTTCTGAGTCTTGGTGCACCTGCCAGACCATGTTTTGCTTCTCCTCTCACATAGTTTCTTCGTTTTCTGGATCTCTCTGCACCTTGAATCTCTGCCTTAAGTTATAGAACAAAAGATGTAAGAGTTTTAATTAGAAACTTTTGATTACAAAAGACATAGGAGCTGTTAGTTTCTATTTACCCAATTAAACTAATGTAGTAGTAAAACTAAATACCTGATGAGGCAAGGAGGAAGAGGATGAAGAAGAATGCAAAGTAGGAAACAGACTTGGGAGCCTTAGCCATAATGTAGCTCTTGCTTATCAGAAATTGAGAGGAGGCTTAAGGTATTTATAGTCAATGTTGCTACTAGTCTCTGGTGTAACTGAGTAAAAGACAAGAAAAGCAAAAGATTAAACAACTAAGCCAGGTGATAGGATAGGATTAGCAAAAGGTTGTGCAACTACTCAAAGAATTTTAAAATAGATGGCGGTTTCGAGAATCCAGGCACATGGTCCTAAAGCTCTGTTAGTTATTTAAACAAAGTCGGTTCAGTTTTCAGCATTTCCCTTTTGACCAGCATTTTGAGTATCAGTCCCCTAAGGTTGTGTGTTGGACTAAGGAACGCATTGCCCTAAACAAAATATCTTAAGGGTGCAAGTTGGGTCTAACCCTAACCTAACCGAACCCCAAGTTGGGAAGAGTACAAATATATATATATATATATATATATAATGCAAAACAAGGTTACAAATATGTATGGTGTAAATATATACAAAATAATATAAAATACAAGGTTTTGGGTTCTATATATTTGTATTTGTACTTATTCCAAACTGAGGCTAAGGAAAAAAAATGGTTTCACCTTTTAGACTTAAGGTTACCCAATTATGCATGCATATATGAATGTATACACGCATGCATATATGCATATATTATGTTATTTTATAGGATAAATCTATGATGCCAAAAAGGTATGATACCTGAAGAGCTTTGAGAATCAAAATTCACTATGAATTTTCATAAATACCACCTGATTGGTTACTGCTTTTAAGATGTTGGTTGAATGGCAATAAGTTACATTTTTTTTTTCAGTATAATAGTTGAACCCTATATTATATATACATACATACAGAAATAAATTTATATATGCAAAATGAAAACATTTTTGATTGGGTTGGGTTGCCCAAAGCCACAACCTAAGTTAAGTTCCTCTTTTCAACCCCAACCCTAATCCACCCAGTGCAACCCAACCTGGTTCAGGCTAACCTAGTTTCACCTCCATAGACCTGGCAAAAAGTTGACCCAACTTGCGAAAACCGACCCAACCCAACCCGAAAAAACAGAGCTTGGGTCTCATATTTGGCTAGCTGAATGTGCGAATGACCCGACTGGAAAAAACTGGGTTGGGTTGGGTCATGGGTCAAATGCTGACCCGATTGTCAAGTCTAATTGGGACTATTTATGCATTGTTAGAAGTTTCCATTCTTTAATTTTTTCTATTTAGTCATTATTCTGTTAAATGTTCAAGTTTTTTTATTTTATATTTGGAATTTTAAGATTAATTCTTTTAATTTTGACACTTTTCATGTAACTTTTTCTTTATTTTTTAAATTTCAGTTATTTTTTGGAATAACCTGAATTGACCCATGGGTCAACCCAAACCTTTGGGGTTAGGGTCTAGCATTTGACAACCCACCCAGAATACCCAACCCGAAATCAACACAAAGGGTCTTGACCCAACTCAAACCCGGCCCACCCAACCCAATTGCCTGGTCTACACCTCCATTATGTTTGGAATCAAGTTGGATAATCCTGGAGGTAACAGAATTCTTTCTTTCTTTATTTATATTTTTTGAGAGGTGGGAGTAGGTGGGAGATGATCACTCTTTACTAATTCTTTGTTGGCTGAAAATTCAAAGACAACCTAAGGTCCATTTTCACTTTTCTTTTTTTGAAGAAAAAGTCCATCTTCACGTTCAGATCGGAAGAACTCGATCCATTTTGTAAGTATACTAAAAGCTGTTCAGTTCCCTTTGTGAGGCTAACTAGTTCATCTAGATTTTACGCTTGATCAATCAGCCCTTTGAAGTTCAGGTTCAAATGAAATCTGATTTGCATTTGAACGAGTTGAAATTGAACATAGCAGCAATATAGTATTCTTCCCAATCTATTGTTACTCTCATGCACTTAACTTTGTGCAATAGATGAATATAAGGATATTTGAGCTGCAAATAAGTTGGATCAGATCTGATTCGAATTCAAATTCGATCTGGTAAGAGACGGATTCAGATACCTCCCTTGATCCTAATAAATCGGATCAAATTAAAAAAAAAGCCATCCGTTTAATTAATGGATTGAATTTGAATATACCTTGATCCTATTTGTTAGTTATGAAATATTATATATTATATATGTATATTCTATATATTATTTATATAATTATATTATAAATGATAATATATTATTATATTATATAAATAATATATATTATTTTGTTTTGGAATGGTAGAATACTGATATGTTTCATTCTATTGCCAATTGGCATATTTATACAGTAAGCTGCTACAATAAATAGAAAGAAAAGAAAATAGAAAGAAGAAAAAAAAGAAAGAAGAGAAAATAGAAAGTACAAAAACAGAAAGAAAGAAATAGAAAGAAAAACTTTCTAAATCAATCCTTCAACAATCCTAGGAATATATACAATTCTATTTTCAGATCTGAACCAGTAACCCYACGTTTTYCRACACTCCCCCTCAAGCTGGTGAATAGAGATCCTCCATTCCCAGCTTGGCTATAATTTTCTGAAAGTCTGTACTATTGTGCCCTTTAGTAAGTACATCGGCTAGTTGTCCTTTTGTAGACACATAGGGAGTGCAAATCAACTTGCTVTCCAGTTTCTCTTTTATAAAGTGTCGGTCAATTTTGTTGTGCTTCGTCCTGTCATGTTGAACAGGATTGTGAGCAATATTGATGGCTGACTTGTTGTCACAATATAGTTTCATAGGCTCTTCTCGTGGAATCTTCAGGTCTTCTAAAATTATCTTCAACCAGAGTAATTCACACACTCCTTGTGCCATAGCCCTGAATTCTGCCTCTGCACTTGACCGAGCCACTACATTTTGCTTCTTACTCCTCCAAGTGACTAAGTTTCCTCCTAAGAAGGTACAGTAACCAGAAGTGGACCATCTATCTAATGGAGATCCTGCATAATTGGCATCTGTATATGCTTCAAGAGCCAATCCCCCATTTCTTTTGAATAAAATTCCTTTTCCTGGATTGGCTTTCAAATAGTGTAGAATTCGATGAGCAACCTGCAGATGAACTTCTTTAGGATTATGCATAAACTGACTTATTACACTTATAGCATATGCAATATCTGGTCGTGTATGTGCAAGATAAATGAGTTTTCCAACTAGTCTTTGGAACATCTCATTGTCTACACTTGCATTCTCGTTGGCTTCTCCAAGTTTATGATTGGGATCTATAGGCGTGGAAGCTGGTTTACATGCCATATTTCATGTTTCTCTCAAAAGATCAACAACATACTTTTGTTGAGAGATAAAGATGCCTTGTTTAGAATGTGCAACTTCAATTC